ACCACACAGTGTAAGAGTACACAGCTCGCCCTCCTCACCACACACTCGGGCTCTTTCTTGCCTCAGCACTATCACTTACACTGTTCCTTTTGCCTAGAATGCCTTCGCTTTCTATTTGCTAAACACTCCCAATACTTTAAGACTCTGATCAGGCGTCATTTCCTCTGGTCCGCCCGGTAGATGAGGCCCACATGCTGGGCTCCTGTCTCAGCACTATGAGTGGAGACAACCTAAGGACCTACATAGTGGCTGGAAAGCACGGTGTCTGTCCATGAATCCTCCAGGCAAGAATGCTGGAGAGGGCAGCCACTCCCTTCTCCAGGGGATCTTCCCAACCAGGAACTGAAACTGGGTCTCCTGCACCGCAGGTGGACTCATCATCAGAGCCACCAGGGAAGCCCTGCTGTCTCAGCACAGATCATGCTGCATTACCACTGTCTTCCCCAGACTCCTTAACTGAGGGCAAGAAGAATGCCTGGTCATTTGTCCCCGATGCCAAGTAAACCACCCAGCATGAGGCAGGTGCTCAGTAAGCTTTCATCAAACGAACAAATGAATCCTGGAGAGAAAGGGCAGGCAGTCTGAAGTTCAAGACTGATACCACCATACTTCCTTCATTTAAAAAATGCTTGTGCCGATGGAAACAACTTGAGTTAAGCACTCAGCAGAGGCCTAGCTCCCTGCTGGGAGAAGGGCAGTGGGTAGGGGTATAGTCTTTCACCCAAATTTGTTTGAAAAGAAATGTAATCTCTGTGGTGAGAACAGGAGGCCTCACTTCTCCCAGCCCCAACAGCTCCTCACTCGGCTCTGTCCGATCATGGACAGATGTGCCTTCAGACTGCCCTGTGCCCTAGGTTTCGGTTGAGTGGTTCCTGAGTCCAGGAGCCATGCTTGGGTGTGGGCTGAGCCCAGGAGCAGGGCCACCTGCTCATGCTGCTGACAGGTGGGATAGGGGGCCTCAGAACCAGGATTCCACTCCTGAAGAGCCAGAGCTGCACTTGCAAACAATGTTTAAGTGCCTTGGGGGAAGAAGGAAACAGCTGCCACACAGAGAGAAAGGAGAGGACGACAGGAAGGAAAAGGGATCCAGTCTGCTTCTGACATAGCCAGCGGGAGTTTGAAAATAAGACTCTGGACTGCCTGCTTCTGGTTTGCTGGAAAGTCAGTAAAAAAAAAAGTAGCTTTCCCCAACTTTCACTGTACTGGAAAAGAAGATAAGACATGTGTGGAACCAGACCTTGTCCCTACCATGGGGAGGCACACAATCCAGTGGTTTAAGGTGAAGGCCAGCCCAGCCCTCCTTAAGATAAAGCAGAACATGGTGAGTGGCAGAACCTTCCCTGTGCCTTTAGCCAGGCAGGCCCACACCATGAATGGTTAGCCAGCTCCACGTAAAACAGGTAACGGTGCCCACACTTCAGAGCTGTTGGTCTGATCATCTCACACTGCCTGAGGATCCCTCATCTGTTTCTGATTTGGGTAGTGTGTGAACCACGCTGGTTTTCCTGTTCATGGGCTGGGTGCCTCCTCAGTTCTCATGTTCAGCCCAGCTTCTCCCACCTGACCTCCAACTTCTTTTCCAGCAAAGCAGTCTTCTGCACAGCTGGCATGGCTCTTCCTAGATGACCTGACCACCAATCCCTTCCCCCGCCCCCACCCCAGGCCAGCAGAAGGTGCAGGCCAACGGGCAGATCACGTTCAGCTGGGAGGAGTCTGCAGTACTTGAGCGGAGGCTGGGAGGCTTTAAGAAAAGGTGTAAGGAGCACAGTGTACACACAGCGGTCTGTGAGGAGGGCCCACACCTAGAACCCAGAAACTGCAGATTCGAGAGTATCCTTAAAGAAGATGGTGAAACGCCCCACCTCTGAACAGAAGAGCTTTGGACTGCTTCCCTTAACTATCAAGAGCTCTCCCAAGGCTCTAGGAAGGTAGGAGGTCATCAATGCAGAGCCATACACAGCCCAGAACCCAGAGAGGGACAGGAGAAAAGGAGGGGAAAGACAGCATTACTCCAGGTTTGAGTTTTATTCCAATACTGATTTGACCACACAGATCATACACATGATGACCCAACTGTGTATAAACTATGAGTAAATATTTTTTTAAATTGAGAATGGGATTCTATCCTGGTATTAGCAGCTCCGTTGGGCAGAGCTAAAGGCCAGGACACAGATGGGAAGAAATTAACGGTAGTGTTAAGCACCTGTGCAGAGTCTAGGGTGTAAAAAGCCTAAATAAACAAGGACTTATGGTAGGAATTCAAGGAAGTTTCCTTCAAGCAAGGGTGGTCAGGCTCCCCCTACTCCTTCCTGTAGGACCAGCTCTCTGAGCAGGAAGAGCTGTGATTGGCAGGTCACATGTTTGTTTCCTTGAGATCACATGATGAAGGTGAGGGGAGACCGTCAGTCCTGAGAGGCTGGGTCTGTGCCTTGCTCATCTCTGCCTCCCTCACAAGGGATGAAGGGAGATTCTGACTGAGTCTTCATGATCAAGAGAGATAGGACAAGAGGAGGCAGGAGAAATGCGGGCTAGAGACTGGGGACACACAGGGAAATCCTTGCAGACACTAGTCACAAAGGCAAGAACAAATGTTCTGAACCACACACATACCATAAATTCAATCATTTTCTGTAATTTGGGGGTGGGAGGTTTAATCGTTATTAAGAAAAACGTGTATTTGAAAGAGCTAAATCAATCAGCCCTTGGAGGCTAAGTGAAACAGGAAAGGAATACATCAAGGCTGTACATTGTCCCCCTGAATATTTAATTTCTATGCAGAGTACATCATGCAAAATGCCAGACTGGATGAAGCACAAGCTGGAATCAAGATTGCAGGAAGAAATATCAATAACCTCAGATATGCAGAAAGTGAAGAACTAAAGAGCCTCTTGATGAAGGTGAAAGAGTGAAAAAGCTGCCTTAAAAGTCAACATTCAGAAATTGAAGATCATGGCATCCAATCCCATCACTTCAAATAGATGGGGAAACAATGGAAACAGTGACAGACTTTATTTTCTTGGGCTTCAAAATCACCTCAGCTGGTGACCACAGCCACAAAATCAAAAGACGCTTGCTCCTTGAAGAAAAGCTATGACAAATCTAGACAACATACAGAGACATTACTTTGCTGACAAAGGTGCATATAGTCAAAGGTATGGTTCTTCCAGTAGTCATGTAAAGATGTGAGAGTTGGACTATAAAGAAGGCTGAGTGCCAAAGAATTGATGCTTTTAAACTGCAGTGCCAGAGAAGACTCTTCAGAGTCCCTGGACTGCAAGGAAATCAAACCACTGAATCCTAAAGGAAATTAACCCTGAATATTCATTGGAAGGACTGATGCTGAAGCGCCAATACTTTGGCCACCTGATGAGAAGAGCTGACTCATTGGAAAAGACCCTGATACTGAGAAAGACTGAAGGCAGGAAGAGAAGGGGACAACAGAGGATGAGATGGTTGGATGGCATCACCAACTCAATGGATATGAGTTTGAGCAAACTCTGGGAGATACTAACGACAAGAAACCTGGTGTGCTGCAGTCCATGGGTTCGCAAAGTCGAACACGACTGAGTGACTGAACAAAACTCAGCCTCCCCTGGTAAGGAACAGGTGCTTTCACAGCCCTGCTGCTCTGCACATGCATGGCTTATCCTGGCTTGCCAGAGGAAAGCAGGAGCGTGGCAGCAGTCACCTAGCAGTCATCAACAGGTGACTAAAGGGTCAGCAAAGGCCTTAAATGAGGGCACAGCCAGCTGCTACCCCGTCATGCCACCGTACTGCAGCAGAAGGAAACGAGGCTCATCTGTTTCTGAGGGAATGAATATGCCATACCCTGCCTGCAGTTATGAATGGCTCTTATAACAGCAAGCTGACATCTGTGCTTGGTTTTTAAGATGCATCATCACATGTTTATTAAACCACTGCTCCATCATATTTATTTGGCTACGAAACAACTCCCAGCCCATACTTCCAAAAGTGGTTTATTAAAAACTAAGCCTTGAACATTAATACTCAAAAGCACCCTTGAGAGTCAATAATAATAAGGCAGATAAAATGAAAGGGAATCAAAGCAGTAAGTCTTGATGGGGGTTGTGACTGCCTTTCAACACTTTCTTGCACGTTCAGGCAGCTGGAGTGGGGAAGAGCACCATGGGTGTGTGGCGCTGGGTGCAGTGATAGCCATTCCAGTCACCTAATTTCCTGTTTAAAATGTGGACATGGTGGCAGGGAAGGGAGGGTGTCCCATGGCCACCTAGCTCTACACAAAAGGCAGTAAAAAAAAAAAGGCCAAAGTTCGGCCTAATGCTGTGCACCAAGTTTCATTAAGGATGAAGCCTCTGCCCCTAATGAATAGCCCCATGTCAGAGCATCCATCCAGGACAGACTCTATTCTGCCCCAGCACCCGGCTGAGGCCTGGATCAAGTCCTGTCCCTGTACAGGAACAAGCCTCCGATCTAACTGACCAGTGGTCGCTAGGAGAACAGATGAGCTAGGGAAGCTGGAGAAATGCAGTCAGCCCCCGGGCAGGCACCCAGCATGGGCACCCAGCCCAGAAGGCAGGTGGCTCTGGCAGAAGGATCTCTTCCAGCTCCCTCCCAAATCTCCAAGTGTCTCCACTGTTGCCCACCCGCACTCCATCCAGTCAATAAGCAATTACCCGTGGCCAATCCCACAGAGAAACAAGAACAAAGTGGAAGATTCACCGAGGAACCCACAAGATGTAGGAGGGATCCCAAACCATGCCCTGAGAAGGACAGAACAACTGAGGGATCAGGGCTGTCTGGGGCCAGAAAAAAAGACACAGGGGCTGACTCTCTACCTTAAGATATCTAAGGGCTGACCTGGGCCAAAGGAGCCCAAGTGACTCACTGACTACAAGGAAGTCACAGGGTTTGGTTCCCAGCTCAGTGTGAGGATTTCCTCCCAGGCAGTCACCACCAGAGCAAGGGCCCCACTCCGCTCAGGCCTCCTGCAAGAGAGAGCAAGGCCTGGGGTCTGATACTCACCTGCTGACTTCTTGGACATTGTTGGCTCGAGCAGCTTCCATCAGGGCTGCATCTGAAGAGAGAGGGGCACCAATCAGATCCCTGGCCAGGACCTAACCCTCAGAGCTTCCGAAGGGCCCAGAAAGACAGTGGAAGTGAAGGCACTTCGGATACATGGGCTTTAACAAGTGAAAAGATGCCAAGATATACAAAGAGAAAGCTAGTCCTCCCTTGCCCACGTGAAAGCCTGTTAACAACTTGTCTTCCACATCTTTCTATTAGAGCCCAGACTCAGAACTCTTACCACACAGGTGATTCAAGGAATGTGTTAGTACCAAGTGTGGCCTACAGTAAACACTCAGCGTGTGAACGCCTTCACCCTTCATCAGCTATAAAGCTCTGCAGGTTTATGTAACTATCACACAATATTAATTATCCCCCTACCTTGCCCCACTTTCTCCTCCAACTTCAGTTTCTCAGCCTAGTTTTAAATCTTGATGTTACAGGTCAAAAACCTAGCAGGACAGGATAACGAAGAGGAGGCAGGGGTGTGGACCCCTCCGAGAGTGGAGAGAGCCTTGACCGGGAGCCAGGTTCCACCACACCCTGTCCACTATTCACCATGTGCTGTGGCAGCCTTTCCCCTCTCAACGCCAACTTCCTTGACTATAAAGCAGAGGCACTAATCCCTGCCCTGACAGCCTTACAAGGATGCTAAAGAAATAATGGTTGAAAAACCTGCAAACATCCCAGTGCCAAACCCAACGAAGGAAGAACCAAAGTAGAGGATTCCAATCAATCCCTTAGGAATCACCAGGCCTAGTAGAAAAGCAATGGCAAGCTTGGCCTGGGCAGCTTGCGGGCTGTTGGCACCACCTTGTGGCCATGAGGAAAAGCTGTCAACAGCAGAGGCACATTCTCCCCGCGGCTGCAACGCTCTGAGCTCAGCTGGTCCTGAGCTCCAGTGACGGGCACCAGACTGACTGAGACCCAGCCCTGTCTCAGGGAGCTCTCAGTCCAGCCAAGAGAGTCACCACGTGAAACAGAGAGGAAGCACTGGGGGAGGGTGGAATAGCAGACCTGGGTCTGGTCCTAACTCTGCCACTTACTTGCTGTATTATCTGGATCACTCACCTAACCTCCTGTGTACAATATCCACCTTATCAGACATATGCAAACCAGTCCTGTGGTTCAGACCGATGCACAGGCCTCCACGGCGCCTCCAGGCCTAGGCTCCAGGGCTAGGTCTTCCTCGGTTCCCCAGCTGTTTCCCCAGCACACACCCAGGCATGCTTGGGCAGCCCCCAGCTGGAAGGGGAACAAGCCTTCCTCAGATACTGCTGTATTCTCTCTCCCCTCACTCTTTTAAAAAGTAGCAGCTTCTGCAAGGTCCCAGAGGGAATGAGGAATGACCAAGATTAGAACCGGGGTCCCCTGGCTCCTAAAGGGCAGTACTGATTATGCTGCACTGAGGGCCTTGGCTTACAACTCTCAAGTCAGGAGACAAGGGAACTGGCAAGTCAGAAGCATTGGGACTGGTTATGGTTTGGTAAACGTCATGTATTTTGGTAAAAAGACCCCAGTGTCTTTTGCTGCGGTTCACATGCCACAGAGTCCAATCTGGAGCCCCCCAAAAATTCTGAAGCAAGACCTTGGACACCTTCTCCCCATCTGTCTAAACCTGCTGGCCTTGAGACATTCCCGGCTCATCAATTTTCCATGGCTTTCCATCACTTATAGGAGAATTTCAAACCTTCCAAATCCTTGCGCCTGATATCCAGACCCTACTCCATCTGCTCTCACCTCATTTGAAAGACCTCCTCTCCTCCAACCAGGCTGGACAAATTGCTAGCCTCTATACATATTATGCTGACCTGCGCTTCATTCCTGGAAACATTTGCGTAGAATACAAACCATCTTGAGGAACATTTACTAAGTACCTACACTAAGTACCAGGGACTATGACGGACAATGCAAAAATATTAGGGAAAGGAACCGGCATCAACCTGAAAGTATCAAGATGCACTCCCTGCTCTCAAGGAGCTCACAGTATCACTCTCCTTTTCATCTCTTGCCTTATCCTTCAGAACTCAAATTCAAATTCCCCATCCTCAAGGAAGGTTTCCAATCATTCAGGAAGGCTTTCCTGACCATGCTGGCCTTCTGATCCCCAAAAACACGCTGTCAGATGACTCGCCAGATGCACATGCCTAATGGCCCGCACCATCCCCTTAATTGGCATTGTGTTAAGTCAGGAGTTCCACATCAAGCTTTAAAGTAGGCCCACAGAGGGTACCTCTATGGGTGTGGAAGTAATAGAATCATAGTGTGCCTAAGCTAGAAGAACCCTTAGGAGCTCTGTTTCAACACCCTCATTTATAGATGAGGAAACAGGACCATGAGGAAGAGCAAAAGTCCAAAGTCCCATGGGAATTAAAGGTAGAACAAAACAAGACCCCAAGTGACCTTACTCCCTGCCGAGGCTCTTCTATACAGCTGGCCACATCCTGCTGAATAAACAAATGAACATCAAGGGTGTCCCTCCTCTTGGTCCAAAGTCTCAGAGCTTGGGATGCATGGAATCTTGAAACACCATGCCTCACTCTTCTCTTTGAGGAAGAGCTGAGAACCTGAGTAGCTGGACTCACATAGGCTAGAAGTCTAGCTCTCAGCCTGCTCTCCCAGTCCCTGCTTGGCTCCATGCACCCAGGGGTGATGCTAATCTGGGTCAGCCAGCCCCCGTGGTTGCTCTGGTTCTCTAGAGAGCCAGCTCCCTGTATTTCTTGTCCTGCCAAATTCCCTACATAGCAAGATCACCTCATGCCTGAGGCCAGGCACAGCAGAACCCTAGGAGTCTCCCTGATGAACACACCCACACTGCTGAACTTCAAAAGGAATCAGAATAACAGCACTGTAAGAGTACTGAGAAATCATCCTCCACCTGTGGGGAAACAATCTAGAGAGGAGCAAGCAGAGCCAAAGCTGGCACTGAAACCAAGTCTCCTCTTCCCTTCTTAGGCCATGGACCCCAAGGACTGTAGCCTGCCAGGCTCTTCTGACCACGGAATTTTTTTCAGGCAAGAATACAGAAGATGGCTGCCATTCTCTACTCCAGGGGATTTTCCCAGACCAGGGATCAAACCCATGTCTCTTGCATCTCTTGCGTCTCCTGCATTGGCAGGTGGATTCTTTACCACTGCACCACATGGGAAGCCAAACAGGAGGTTTCCTGGGGACCTCTTAAAAGAGGAACTGAACCAGGTAGAATAGTAGAGAAATAGGCCACATGCTAATTTCAGATGTTTAGTCCAAAGCTCCCATTGTACAGATGGATAAGGTGATATTCCAAGAAGGGAGGCTGACCTTTAATAACTGTATTATTATAATACAATAATTATTATTATGGGTTTCCTAGGTGGCGTCAGTGGTAAAGAACCCACATGCCAATGCAGGAGACATAGAAGACGCAGGTTTGATCCCTCAGTAGGGAAGATCCCCTAGAGGAGGGCATGGCAACCCACTCCAGTAGTCTTGCCTGGAGAATCCCATGGACAGAGGAGCCTGGCAGGCTACTCTCCACAGGGTCCCAAAGAGTTGGACAGGACTGAAGCGACTAGGCACACATGCAATTATTATTCTAATACACTAACAGTTGCATAATTTGAGAAATTACACAATTCAGAGGCATTGAACTCCTCAGCCTGCTCTATGACCAAATTATGTCTGGGTCCCACCAGGACTGAAGCTCTAGTGGTCTAAATCTATAAGCAGCTCCTATCCTCCAACCACATGGACTCAGGACCCTCCTCCCGCCTCTCACTTGCACAAAACCAGACTGTCCCGATAATCACCCTTGCTGGACGGGCTCTTGCTGTAACAATGAACCACCAGCGCTGTGGCCAGGGCCCACACGCCCAATCCGGCTCTGCTGAGGACTCCATTCCAGCTGTCCTGCCCAGGCAGTGTGTCTTCGGGGCTGGGAAGGCGTCCCCACGTGGCAGCTGCAAGGCAGGGGGTCTCGGTATATCCTCTCTGGCGCCCTCCAGAGGCTGCCCCTCCTCCGGTGAGTAGGGCCGGCGACGTTCCTTGGCGCCCCCCGACGGCCGCCCTCAGCCACTGAGGCTCCCCGCGGCCCCCGGTGGTCACACTCCGGCCGGTGGCACTTTCGTGGCTCCGGAGCGATGGGGACCTAAGCAGCTGGAGAAGGAGCCGCGGCGCCGGCGCTGTTCTCTTCGACACCAGGGACCCCAGCATCGTGACAGCTGCTTCGATAACCCCCTGGTGCCGGCCCCTGTGCTGACCACTTCCAACATGGCTGCCGCGGCGCGTTCGAAGACGCCGCGGAGTGGAATTACGCACCTCCTCACGGGAGTGGTAGTCACTAACCCTAGATCTTGACGTAGCTGGGGGAGGAAATAAACTACATTTCCCAGAAGGCTGTGGAACATGCGTCATAATGACTGCAGACTTACAGGATCCTGGGGCGTCTTGGGAAATGGAGTTTGGACATGGGGGCGTGGCAAGAAGAGAAACACCTGGCAGGGGCCAGGCCATTAGAGTTAAGGTTGGAATCCCAGAGTCTTCTTCCAAGTTTAGCTAAAACTTGAGATGCAATTTCTGAGTTTTGTAAATTAAACGGGACTCTTCAGCAGAGGCCAGTCATGAAACTTTTGCTTCTTTTAGCCTATACCTCTTTTTAGCCTGGGACTGCTTTTCACAAAGATAGCTAGGGTAACTGGTGCACCTGAAATAGGAATTCCTTTTCTTTTCTCTCTCTCTCTTTGTTTTTTTGTACACCGACATCCTTTCTGTTAAAAAGTTGATGCCTAATCTTGCTTTCCCACTTGCCCTATATTTAAGGTGCTTTCATATGTTCTATCTTTCTCATCCTTGTGGCAGCCGCATAAGAGAAGCTGTGCTAGGACTATTACTCCTGTGAACAGGGAGGGGAATTTAGGCTCAAAAATAAAAGAATTTGTCAATAAATCAATAAATAAAGCTGAAGCCTTCAACTCCAAGCCATCGCCTTTTTGATACTTGCACCCCCATCCTGCCCTCATTTCTCCAGATTGAACCCATGAGCAGGCGAATGATGAAGTGCTTTTTTTTCTATGTGAGAAGTGGATTTTTTAGAGAGAAGCACACTCCACAGAGCTCCAGCCTTCTCAGAATCAAGAGCAGCCTTGGGAGAAACACACTCCACAGACTAGAGTGTGGACTGTCGCAGAGGGTATGAGTAGTCTTGAAATGCAGTGTGGTTAGTTTTTATAGGCTGGGTTATTTCACAGGCTAATGAGAAAAGCTGTGATAAACCTAGACAGCGTATTAAAAGGCAGAGACATCACTTTGCCAACAAAGATACAAATTGTCAAAGCTATGGTTTTTCCAGTAGTCATGTATGGATGTGAGAGCTGGACATTAAAGAAGGCTGAACACTGAAGAATTGATGCTTTTGAACTGTGGTGTTAGAGAAGACTCTTGAGAGTCCCCTGGACTGCAAGGAGATCAAACCAGTCAATCCTAAAAGACACAAATCCTGAATATTCAGGGAAGGACTAATGCTGGAGCTGAAACGCCACTACTTTGGCCACCTGATGTGAAGAGCTGACTCATTGGAAAAGAGCCTGATGCTGGGAAAGATTGAAGGCAGGAGGAGAAGGGGGACAGAGGACGAAATGGCTGGATGGCATCACCAACTCAATGAACATGAGTTTGAGCAACTTCAGAAGATGGTGAAGGTAGAGGGAAACCTGGCGTGCTGCAGAGCAACTGAACAACAACGAGGGAGGATTATTCCAACTATTTTGGTGGGGGGGGGTGGGGCTGAAGATTTCCAGGAATTGGGCCACTGTCCACTTTTGGGTCTTTGATTGTTGGCTTTGGAACTGTCATGGCACTTCTGGGTGTGTCATTTACCTTGCTGATGTATTACAATGAGCATATACTGAGGATCAAGGTCTAGTCTAAGTTGACTTGTCTGCCATCTTAGGCCCATTTGATTCTAATCAGTTTATGTTGTGTCCTCGGGCTATGTCATTCTTTCAAAGGTTGTGCCCTGCCCCCTTCCCTCCTGTTTCATTTGACCCTCAGATTTTACTCCCGTATTCTTACAGGAAGCAGAAGAGCAATGGTCCATCCTCTGTAACTGAGAAGGCTCTTCTTTATACCAGTTCTAGATCCTGTTCCTGCACTTACTTCAGAGTATCAGAACCTTCCCAGATGACTTTATTTAAATAAGCTATCTTCCTTTCCACATCTTTCTTATCCTGCCTACTTTGTCTTCATTATCACGTAGCACTTGACATGTTGTTGTTGTTTAGTTGCTAAGTCATGTCTGATTCTTTTGTGACCCCATAGACTGTAGCCCGAAAACCTCTCTGTCCATGGGATTTCCCAGACAAGAATACTGGTGTCGACTAAAAAAGATGCACAACTTGAGAGCTTCGAGTTAAGTTTTATTTGGGGCAAAGTGAGGACTGCAGCCCGGGAGGCAGCACCTCAGATAGCTGTGAGAGATAGCTCCAAAGAGGCAGTCAGTTCAGTTCAGTTCAGTTGCTCAGTCATGTCTGATTCTTTGCGACCCCGTGGACTGCAGCACGCCAGGCCTCCTTGTCCATCATCAGCTCCTGGAATTTACTCAAATTCATGTCCATTGAGTCGGTGACGCCATCCAACCATCTCATCCTCTGTTGTCCCCTTCTCCTCCCACCTTAAATCTTTCCCAGCATCAGGGTCTTTTCCAGTGAGTCAGCTCTTCACATCAGGTGGCCCAAAGTATTGGAGTTTCAGCTTCAGCATCAGTCCTTCCAATGAACACCCAGGACTGAGTTCCTTTAGGATGGACTGGTTGGATCTCCTTGCAGTCCAAGGGACTCTCAAGAGTCTTTTCCAACACCACAGTTCAAAAGCATCAATTCTTCAGTGCTCAGCTTTCTTTATAGCCCAACTCTCACATCCATACATGACTACTGGAAAAAACCATAGCCTTGACTAGATGGACCTTCGTTGGCAAAGTAATGTCTCTGCTTTTTAATATGTTGTCTAGGTTGGTCATAACTTTTCTTCCAAGGAGTAAGCATCTTTTAATTTCATGGCTGCAGTCACCATCTGCAGTGATTTTGGAGCCCCCCAAAATAAAGTCTGCCACTGTTTCCACTGTTTCTCCATCTATTTGNTTGCTCAGTCCTATCCAATTCTTTGCAACCCCATGGACTATATAGTCCATGGAATTCTCCAGGCCAGAATACTGGAGTGGGTAGCCTTTTCCTTCTCCAGGGGATATTCCCAGCCTGGGAATCAAACCCAAGTCTCCTGCATTGGCTGGTGGATTCTTTACCATTGAACCACCAGGGAAGGGCCACCTGATGTACCAAATATTTGCTTTGTTTATTGTCTTTCTCTAGTAGAATTTAGTCCCACAAGACAGGATTTTTAACAAAATCGTTTTATTTTGACTGCACTGCATCTTCATTGTGGTGTGCTGGCTTCTCTTGTTGTGCCCCTTCTCTTGTTCTTGTTGTGAAGCATGGTCTCTAGAGTGTGGAGCCCTGTGCCAAAGTCACAGGACAAAAATCTCTGGAACTGACTGAGCCCCGTAGCAACTGTTGCCATGAGTCTGTGGATCTAAATCACCAGATCCCTGGCCCTAATTAGGTAAAATACTCACCCTATTACCCACCCAATAGCAGCCTAGCCAATCACCTAATGCCACCATTCCGGTAGGAATTTTCTGTTTTAAGGTTATAAAAATTGGCTACTAGCTCATGAAAGGGTAGGCTCTCTCTTGAGCTGGACCACTGTTAGAATAGCATCTCCCACTCTAATAAATTTTATTCTCCTTTCATTTTGCCTCATGTGTGAAAATTCTTTTCCAACCTGTGCATAAGCCATGACATAGAGCTCAAGGTTCCCATTGCCCTGAAGCATGTGGGATCCAACTTACCTAGCCAGGGATCGAACCCAAGTCCCCTGCATTGCAAGGGGACTGGACCACTAGAAAAGAGGGGACTTTTTTTTTTTCACTTTCACATCACTAGAACAACATCTGGAGCAAAAAGGTACTCAATATATATCCATTCATTGAATAGCTTACTCTCACTGTATTAGCATGGTCATATTAGAATATGACCTGTACAGTGAAGGCAGACCTGAATTTCAATTATGACTCTTGTATTTACTACATGTGTAACTTTGGACAAATTTCTTTGCCTCTCTGATTATAATTTCCTCATTATTAGATAACCTACCTTCAAGGCAATTAGTTGTATTAAATGAGATAATACATAGAGCACTAACATTCCTGGCTCACAGTAAATTTCAAGAAATGGCAGCTATTTTATTCCCCGCTCTAGGGGTTTACTGGATTTCCTACTGTAAACTTCTTATGGGCAGAAACGGAGTTCCTCATTTCCTCATCCCTTAGTGAAGGCACTCAGTAAATAACTGTTGAATGAATGAATATTTTAAAAGTACACAATAGTCAAAGCACTTTGACTTTCCCATTTTAAAAGATTCCCATGTTATCCTGTCTTTTTAGCCACTCTATTCACTATAGCAGCTTCACCTTCCCTGTATTCTTAGAGTCCCTTTGCCTCCCAGCTCAGGGTTGGTCACAACAGGAAGAGCGGTCTCTGAGCTCCCATTACCAGGTGGGTCACAGAGCGTCTGAGTGTGCAGCGTTCAACCTCTCTGCTGCAGACACATTCCAGGGTCCCTCAGTTTACCTACAATTGCTTAACTCTCCAAGCACATATCCATTTATTCTCTCATACGATTTTCACAAATAACATCTTTGAAAGGAGCAAGACAGGGGTGAACCACTATTAGCATTTAGTAGGGAGTACTGAGAGGTTAAATGATCATTGTCTGGCTGAATGAGAAGTGGCGGGGGAGCATGGGGGAATCACCCATTAAAATCAGCCAGGACTCAGTGAATTCTCGTTCTTCAATAAACAATTCAAAATCCCCTAGGTCACATTCATAACATTGAAAAAGATCTTCAGTTCAGGGACTTCCCTGGTGGTACAAGGGATAGGAATCTGCCTGCCAATGCAGGGGACATGGACTCGATCCCTGGTGCAGGAAGATTCCACATGTCTCAGAGCAACTAAAGCCTGTGCGCAACTACTGAGCCCGCATTCTGCAGCTGCTGAAGCCCATGTGCTCAGAGCCCGTGTTCTACAGCAGGAGGAGCCACCACAGTGAGAAGCCCGTGCACCGCGGCAAAGAGTAGGCCCAGCTCACAGCAACTAGAGGAAAAGCCCGGACACAGCAACGAAGACCTAGCACAACCTAAAAGAAATAAATAATATTTTTTTTAAAAAAAGATCTTCAGTTCATGATGACTTCCTTTTGGTCTGCTCAGAATGCAAGAGTTTATTGTATCAGGTTGTAGTTACCCTACCTGTGCTTCTAGCTCTTGGGTTGGGGCACAGAGAACGTGTTTCATTTAGTTT